GAGGGTGACCCTGCAGAGCCCACCATAGATTATTTATGGTGGGCTCTGCAGGTTCTCAGGAGGGCAGTCAAGCCCTCTTACCTGTCAGCCCCAATCCACTGTCTGCCTCCTTCTTCGCCACGGTTGCTGGCCCCCGCTTTCTCTGTCACTGGGCCCCGCCTCCTCCATCGCTGCCAATGACGGGCCCAGCCACCTCCTCCGAAGCTGCTGGTTTTCACTGACTCAGCAGGGGCTGTGAGGAGGATGCCGCCGCACACATCACTGACAGGTTCTCCTCCTCACAGCCGCCAGTGACAGCCAGCAGTCTGAGATGCCATATCAACCCAGGCGGCTCGCACAACATCAGTGGGGTGTCCTGGCCAGACCCCCCTGTGCCCCGGGCCCCATAGCGGCCACCTGGGTCGCTATGGCAATTGTTCCGCCACTGTATCCAATGATAGGTTGGAGAAGAACTGGTTCTAGTGTCTGGTAAGGCTGTGTCTCAGGGCTAGACCAGTGTATCCCAACCTTTTTTCAGTCACAGCACCCTATAGAAATACACAACATCTTGAGGCACCACAGCCTAATACGTAAACAACATAAATGTAAAAAAAAAGGTGTTGCCCTTCCATAGTGCATAGCAGACCCTTATCCCAGATACGGGTCTGGTATGGATTTTCAGCAGAGACCCCATGGTGAGATGGAAGTAGGTGACAGGCAAGGCAGGCCTGGATGGAGAACTTTTTTGAATGGCTCCCACCATTCTTAGCTTAGTTCGTTTCCACGGTGCTGGGGCCAAAAATTCGAGGCACCTCTGACGAAGCCAGAAGGTAACTTGGGGTCCAATGGCACCCTGGCTGAGAAGAGATAGGCCAGACAGAAATAAAGAACCCATATACAAATTTTAATGTAGATCTGAACCTTTATTGGACGACATTTAGCTTGCTACAACACTGAGTACCATAAGCATTAGCCATGTTTTTTCTCTGTTTTCCCCTTTTTTGCAATGTTAAACAAGTACTTTTTACTTTCTGGCTATTATCAGCTGTAAAGTGGCTGTTAATCATGCGTTCCTTGAGACTATTAATCAGGTACAGTAATTTATTGCTGTATTCGTGTTTATAAATATTTCAATGCACTTTGTATTTTTATATAAATAGATCTATTGGTTCATGCCGATATTGGATGCAATTGGTCAATTGTGGTGATCCATCAATTTGACATCAATGTCTTTTTTAATGGTGTGGGTCGGCTTTGTTTATTATTTATATCCTTTATCTCTTTTTTGTAATTATGATTCGTAACTGATAGTTGTTATTAAATATTTGAAATTAAAGCTGAATTTAGGGCACACAATCAAACACTTATCTAGCAGCAGATTTTTTTCCCCATGCAAGCATTGAAAGACAAGAATACAAGACATTTTTTCCATACCAGAAAGGAATGATAGGAACTGTCACTGCAGCTGTATCATTATTAAAATCAAGCCATTTTCAGGGAGTATAATGTTGGCAAAGCAGCAATATGAAAGAGCTGCCTTCTGTAGAACTACTTTTCCAAGCAATAATTGCACCCACAGATAGGGTAGGATGGACAGTAAAGCTTCGTTATATAGCCAAACATTTGTGGACACCTGACCATTAAAGTTTAAACATGTGCGATTCGTTTCGTTACAAATCGAAATTCGTACGAATTTTCCTGAAATTCGTAGATTCGTAAGCATACGAAATCCGAATGGCAGTTTGCGAATTTATATCCAAAATACGAAATTCCGTTAACGAATTTCGGATCCGAATTTCTTTGAAACAGGAACTAATATTACCCCTGCAAATGAGGTTGAACAACATGACACGATTTTTTTTTAATCCAAAATACGGATCCGCTGCTGCTGAGGGTTGCATTACAATACACAGGCAGGAAATACGAAATTCCGTTGACGTATTTTCGTTCCGTTATGAACATTCGTTATATATTGAAGTTAAAAAGCAAAGTACATTTATATTGGAGTTAATGGTATTTTTTTAAGTCCGAAATACGAAATTCGGATACGGCATTCGTTAACGGAATTCGTATTTCGTTTTGGTTGACCAATCAGAGGTTCTCTTCTGCTGCTGAGAGTTGCATTACAAATACAGGCAGGAAATACGAAATTCCGTTTACGTATTTTCGTTCCGTTAGGAACATTCGTTATATTGAAGGTAAAAAGCAAAGTACATTTATATTGGAGTTGATGGTAGTTTGTTTTTAAGTCCGAAATACGAAATTCGGATACGGAATCCGTTAACGGAATTCGTATTTCAGATTAAAAAACAACTACCACATCGACTCCAATATTAACAAAGGTATTTTTGATTTTTAACTTCATCATAACGAATGTTCGTAAAGTTACGAAAATGTGCCGAAACTAACGAAAATATGTATTTCGTACGAATCCGAATTGAGTTTTGGATACGAATTACGAAATACGAAATAATGGATATTACGAAACGGAACAAATTTTTTGACGAGTCTATTAAAGTTAAAAAACTTTTTGGGCATCCAAAACCATCAGCATTAATATGGAGTTGCCCCTTATGTGGCTGTTAGAGCACAAGAAGAATTTGCTCGTGATCAGTATTCCGGTTTATCTCAAAGATCTCCCATTGGGTTAATGTCAAGGCTCTGTGAAGGCCAATCAATTTTCTTTCACACAAACACGTCAAGTAATGGCTTTATGGACTTGGTTTTGCGCCCAGGGGCACAGTCTTGCTGAAACAGAATAGTGTATTTCTTAAAACGGTTGCCAAAAGTTTAAAAGGACTCAATTGTCTAAAGTATTTTTTGTATGCTGTTGCATAAACACCTTTACCTTTACTGGAAACACCTAAACTTTGGACGGTTGTCTACATGCTTTTGGCCATATAGTTGTAGGAGTGATGATCGGGTGTCCACATAACATATAGTGTAGCAGTTGATTAGTTGTTATGGGCAAAAGGCCTATTTTTACAACTTCCCTGGTTGTTCAATTCAGGCAACCTGTAAAGCTGGCCATAGTCATGAGATTAAAATCATTCATTCTCACTAATGACACTGGTATGTATTCTGCTGCATTTCACAACACAGGCCAAATGACAGGAATTCAATTAACAGAATGTTCCCAGAGGAGCCTGTATCTGTGTTGAATTACATTAGTATAGGTTATGCATTTTGTATGCATTGCCTTGCTTTTTCCCATTTGAGTAATTTGCGCAGCATCCTTCCAAATTTAGTATAGTGGCTAATGTTCCCATGAGATAAGCAATCAATGCCTGCTCCTTCATTCTCCATTCATATGAACATTTATGCTGAGGTGAGCCGATTGTTCATGTTTAGTGACTGCCAGCCGATTGACTCATCTCCTAGACGTTGGCCCCTGTCTGCTTGACAAACTACCCTTGCTTAATCACATTTATTAGAACATGGATCAGTGCAGAATTTGATCTATGTGCATATAATTTAAGTTTATTAGCCATTGCGTTATGAATGGAAAAATTCAATATAAGCCTCCAGACTACATCCTAGAATGTTATAGTTATTTTTTCTGGTATTTCATTATTTAAAATTACACACTTTTATTAACTTTTCAAAGCAACACATAACCAAAGTTAATATTGTGTTATCTAGCAAAGGTTTCTTCCATGTTCTATCTTGTTGAATATCGTCAATGCCGTGGGCTCCAGACACAGAAATGACTGTCTGTGATGTTCCACCCACTGGTTAAATTGGATCTGTAGTGGACCGTTTTATTTAATCAGTCTAGAAAATTGGTCTTCGCTGACAATGAATGTGGTTTCTCAAATATCATTATTTGAGGTGATCATGACAGTTCTTTGTAGCTCAAATGAACGTGACGTGTTAAGCTTAAAAGAAACCTGAGGAAAACTTAGATGCTGCCTTCTCAAAATGTTAGTTATCTTGCTGACTCTCTTGCTTCAATACTTTCAATCACTTACCTGCAACCAGTATACAAATCAGGACTTTTGTTTTTCCCCCTAACTATATGATTTGAATACCCATTGTGAGTTAGTGACACAGAAAGTATTAAACTCCAGGGAAATGTTTTTATTAACCCGTGCAGTGGGGCTACCCCCGCACTGCACGGGTTAATTGCTCGTTTTTGGCTATGTTAAAACAAAGTTAAGCTCACCCAATGTTCCTAGCCGGCTTGTTCATAGACAAGTCCTTGGAGCCTCCTTTCCCCTCCTCTGCAGTGGTCCAAGGTCCCATAAATCATCAAGTCTATACACAGTAGTATGTGTAGACATGAGGGTGCTGAGGAACATTCCAATTCGGCAGCGGGAGGACAGAGGCTGGAGGGAGCACTGTAACAGTTGGCCGGCTTGGATCATCTGGTGAGTATTTTAATTATTAATATTAATTATTAATCATTTTAATAAATAAATTAATCATTATTCTTATTTTTGAACCGAGGGTAGCCCCACTGCAATGGTTGAGAAAAGGTTTTCCTGGAGATCTTCTTTAATGCAGGTGCATCAGCATTGCCAGCCAATTAGCTAGTATTTTCACCAGGAGATCAGCACTAGTAGCCCCCATATTCCTTAAAGGACATGTTTACTTTAAGCTGGAAGCAGTAATAAAGTGGCACTCAGAGTAACAGTGTGACAGTGGGATCATTAGGATTAGATTGAAGGGCTATTGCTTCTATACATTAGGTATGGGTGCAGGGTCCCACACCCAAAACACTGGGTGACTGCTATGTGCACCTCCCAGATGATCATTGCTATAAATACGCAGCTGGAAAGTCCCTCCATACTAGACAAGTGGTATGGCAGGGTTAGCAAGCTGGGCGACTTGTTACCACTACATACATTCTGTAGATAATAGCCTGCATTCTGGAGAATAAGTGTGTTCCATGTTATATTAGTTGTGAATGATATTGTTCTTTGAAAGGTTTTGTGCTTGACTCTACTCCTCCTGCATTGTTTTGTAGTGGACGTATTACATTTTGTTAAAGCTATACTTAATTTTTCTCTCTTTTTTAGGGCAAAATGTTTTAGAGGAAAGAAGGTTCAAGGGGACTATGACATACGAGTTGAACAGGTAAGAGCAGAAATATTATAGGATGTTGTATATGTTTGATACAATGCCAACATCAATTTGATAAGTGTTTTGAGTACCAAGTGTTAAAAGCACTATATGATTAATATTATTATTATTTCATAAACTTTCATAATACATTCTATTTTGTGGTAATAAATTCATCCTCACATGTTGGCTGTGCCTCTACTATAAAAGCAAGGAGGGAGGTGCTTTAAATGGGAGTATTAAACTTTAGGGCTACATTTACAACTATGTGGTAGAAAACTTTAGAACTGATTTGGCTTTGATTGGTGGGTACAGCTGCGCCATGGTCTTCCAGGGTTGCACTGAAAGATGTCCTGTCAAAACGCCTTATAAAAAGGACTAAAAACAGGACTATAGACAATAAAAATCCATCCAAGAAGGATGGCATGATATGTGTTTGGCTCCTGATGACAACACAGAAATCTCCTGGGGCACATATTAACACAATAGGGACTTCGTTCCCCAGAGCTACCCTTTAAAGTAGTAGGGCCATTATGACACTGCTTTGGAGCAGTAGGTCCTACTTTCTGGATACATTGGTGCTAACAGAAAACCCTTTGGTCTATTATGTTAGTCAGTCTCTCCATGTTACTATATAGAGAGGTCCCAGTCAACAAGAGTGCTATTATTTAAACATCAAACCCCTTTTAATTAATGGTAATTTGGGGTTCAGTGCTACAAAACAGCTTGAAAATACAATTTTCTTAAACCTATTACTTAATTTTGTTTTGTCCTCTTTAAACCCAGGCTGAATTTTCAGAAATAAACCTTGTTGCTCATTCTGATGGAACTTATGCCGTAGACTTGCAGACCTTCCGGAATGGTGCAAAAGTTGTCCGGTGAGTCCAATTACAGAAATCATATACAATAAGATCCTCTCTCGCTTTGCAGCTACTGTCTTGATCAGTCTCCTATTTTCTGGAGACTTTATATGCTTTTAGGTTTTAGATGACTAGAAGTATGTTTGTAAACAGCAAATCTGTGCTTAAAAAAAAGGCTTTGCAAAATCTTTGCCATAATTAAGAATTATTACCAATAATTTGTTTGCAAAGAAACAGAGTAAGAAACAATCATCTCTGATTAATAGCAAATCGTTAACAAATGTGGTTACAACTAGGGATGCACCGATACCGGTATTTTGGTACCGAGTACGAGTACCGATAATTTTTTTTCGGTACTCACCGATACCAATTACCGAGTAACGGAAGTCCCATTCAGGAAGCCAGGTGGCGTGTAATGACTCGCCACCTGCCTTCCTGATTAACAAGAAAGTCCCCTCTTACCTTGGTATGTGCAGCCTGTCACCCCCGGGGCCTCTCCAGCGAGAACGCGGCCTTCGTCTGGTACCCAGCCGGAGCCGTGCGGCTGGCCAATCGGGAAGCCGGGCGCCGGCTCCATGCTCTCTTGTCATGAGATGACGAGGGAGCATGAAGCCAGCTTCCCGGCCAATCAGAAAGCAGGGCGTCGCGTCATTAGACTGCGCCCGGCTTCCCGATTGGACAGCTCCGGCTGGGTACCGGACGAAGGCCACATTCTCGCTGGAGAGGCCCCGGGGGTGACAGGCTGCACATACTAAGGTAAGGTAACCTTACCTCACGAGGCCAGCTTCTTGATTGGCCAGCTTCCCGACCAATCAGGAAGCCAGGCTTAAGCTGCATTCGGTTCAGCCAAATATGCTCAGCATATTCGGCTGAGCCGAAGTGAATAACACGTTCAACTCAGCTGATTCAACACTTGGATCGGCTGAGCCAACCTTCGCCAGTTCACTTGTTGCCGTTCGCCCCTATTCTCATAGGGGCCGAACAGCAGTGAGTGAATAGCCGATCACCGCTGAACGGCATTCGGCTCGGTTATTCTGCTCGCTACCTCCGAGGTAGCAAACAGAATTTAAAAAAAAAGAAACAAAAGAAAAAAAAAACAAGGGCGTGGGGTCCCCCTCCCGATCCATACCAGACCCTTTAGGTCTGGTAGGAAAGTTAGGAGGGACCCTAAGTTAACAAAAAAGTGTGTGGAATTCCTGACCAATCAGGAAGACGGGCGGCGGGTCATGAGGTGCCATCTGAAGCCGGCTTCCTAGCAAATCAGGAAGCTGGGAGGCACGTCATGACCCATACCCTGGCTTCTTGAGGTGGGTCATAATCCACCACAAGGCTTCCTGATTGGAAAGGAAGCCAGCTCCATGCTCCCTTGGCACTGCCGGTCAGAGGGTGATCTCCCTCTGACCAGAAGTTCCAGTATCGGAGGTAAGTATCAGAGCATTTAGGCGAGTATGAGTACTCGCCCAAATACTCGGTATTGGCACCGATATCAATACTAGTATCAGTGCATCCCTAGCTCTGACCCAGTCATCCAACCATCAGAATTCGGCTCTTGTCAAAGTCACTCAAATCCTTATGCTTGCCCATTCTTTCTACTTCCAACACATCAACTTCAGGGTAAAAATGTTCACTTGCTGCCTAATATATCCTACCCACTTCAAGGTGCCATTGTGCAAATTAGAAAATCAATGTTAATCCATCACCTGTCAGTGGTCATAATGTTATGGCTGATCCGTGTATATATCCAATGGTGGATAGCGCAGTGGGTACACTCAAGGCAAGTAGAAACAAATGGTCCTTTGGAAGAGGCACTCACAGGTCTTGTATTGAAGCAACATAAATAGATAGATCTGCTCTAGAAATACAAGCAGCACTTTGTTGAAATGTCGACTAATAAATTGTTTATGGAAATTAGAGAGCGCTAAAGGACCTCAACCTAAATAGTTAACAAACCTAAATGTTTATAAAGTGCATAAATATGTGCAAAAAGCAAAACACTAGTAATAGTTGATAGGTATCATACACATATTCATTATAAAATAATCACAGCGATAAGAAAAAAAGGGTCCAGTTCCCCAATGTATATGTGACCAATGATAAATACGTGATCAATAATTCATAAGTGATCAGTGATAAATAAATATATAAATAGAGTAATCCTGCATAAACAAAGAATCATCCACAGTAAATCAGATGGGTCTCAAAATACCCAATAAAATAAACTTTTTAGTATTGTGATGGTGAATATAATCATAAAGTTCATCCATTTGAAATCCACCCATAAGTGAAGAAAACATCCGTAGTGCTACCACAAGTGAATCCAATATTCCTTTAGTGACAAAAAACGTGGGCCCCTTCAGGGTATGCATTTACCGACTCCCAATGGCTGAAAACAAACAGCCCAATGCTCTTAGTTTAGGATCGATCTGCAGACTGGATCCTCGTGGGTTCACAAGCCCAATACGTTGTTGTACATCTGCTGGTTTATATAGCACTTACAGGATAAGTCCCTGCACAGCCTGCCAGTCTCACTCACTATTCAGCTCTGCTCAGACCAACACCTGTTGCCAGAGCATTAGGTTCATTTTCTAGCCCGTCTATGTGTACCTGGTTCCAATACATTTTTTATGTAGCTTTAATACAAATACCTTTTTATGTATGTAATATAAAGTATATACTGTGAATACTGTGGAGTTGATTTACTAAAGGCAAATTGGCTGAATTTTCACCTTGCAAAGGAATTTTCCCTTAGCTTAGTGAATGAGATGAAGCCCTGCGAACTTCCATCATCCAATGATGTGCAAGCAAAAATACATATTTTTTCAATTTTCATGTCTGTGATTGGGTATTCTATGCAAACTGCATTTTCACCACATTCACAAAGTGTATATTCCCTTGGTGGAGTCACTATTGATTGAATATCGTTGTCTTTTTAATGTAATGATAAATAAATAGCTCAAGACAGGTGATCTTGTGTGCTGGTGACACGGTTCTTATTTGGAATCATTGGGGTCATTGTAGCACCCTTTTATTCTGGCTCATAATGCTCTATGGAATGCACTTGAATTTATGTCATATTATATATATATAT